ACACACACACACACACACACACACACACACACACACACCCACACTCACACTCACACATACACACCCACACACATACACACACACACCCATTTACTTCAAATAAATATTGTTCAAGCTCTGCCTATCAAAGGAAATTGTTCATTCCCCCCCTTCCTAACTAAATCCCAGTGATAAAAATAACACTTTTTAATTCATGTGAGAAGACACTCTAAACCACATTATTATTATGGAAACATTGTTTCATAGCGAATTAAAAAAATAAAAGTTTAAAAATAATTATTATTGATAAGCATGTCCTTTATAATTTATGCAGTTTAACGGAAGTCTCCTCTGTAAAATGTGTGTGCTTTATGCAATGTCAAAGAATGGTCTTAAACGCAGAATTTAATATCTACCTACCGACCTACGTATAGCTAGATCAGATAAAGTGTTGCAACATTGCTCCTGAACACTCCCCCCACCCACTCACCTGGCCCAACTGTCACCCGCCAGGATCTCAGGTCTACACGATCCTCAGCAGAATACATCGTACTTCAAAACAACGACTTCTTGACCCCACCCCTCCCTCTTCCTTTTCATCTCCATCCACCTCCTTCCTTCCTCCCGCCTCCCTCTATCTTATTATATCCCCCCTCCCTCCTCCTGTTATCTTATATCCACCCTCCTCCCTTTCCCTTCTTATATCCACTCTCCCCCCTCCCCTTCCTCCTCCTTCTCCTCCTTCTCCTCCTCCTCCTTCTCACCCTCTTCTTCCCACTCCGCCTCCTCCCCCTCGCCCTCCCCTCCCGTTTTCTTCAACATTCTTCTCTACCCTCACCTCCCGTCTCCCCCCTCCCATCCCCTCCCCCTCTTCTCAGCCCCTTCTTATCGCCAACCTCCTCCCACTCCCCTCGCCATTCACCTTCATCCTCCTCCCCCATCCCTTTTCCTCTCTTCCCTCCTCCGTCCACCCACCTTTACCTCCCAATAACCACACCCAAGACACACACATACATAGCTGGCCTCTCATTAGATTTGTGGAGTGAAACGATTTCAAATCTTTATAACTGACAATTACGGGGTTAAAAACTGCTGATGCGTGCTCTTTTTCTTCAAATCCTCACTGCAACACAATTGTGGCATTAAAGATGAAGACTGACTCAAACAACCAGTGAATGAAAATTTCCACGGTATAACACAAACAACCTCCAAGAATTCTCTTTTGCTGAGTATTTCGTCATCTCAAACAAATTATGTGGACTTTGCCCTTTCTTTGTGATGTTTTCAGTGTTCAGTGGCGTCTGTGGTGTAGTGGTTAGCGCCTTGTCATCGCACCATTCTCATTCAGGGG